CCACAGGAAGAGACAGTTAGGGTGGGGCTGTATTGCTGTTACTCATGCAAAACCTTACCCTCTAAGATCTGTGATAGTCATTATATAATAATTAGTTGAGAACGAGTTGGGTGGGCTAGTGTCCGTGATCCTCTACCCTGTTCCACTCAAATGCATCCATATACAAGGGAACAGCTGCATTTTCCCAGCCCTATCGTGGTGGGCATGAAGGAAAGAGCTGCAGAAAAGTATGGGGGAGCCAATCTCCTAAAGAGGGGCTGCACGTTCCCCCCCCAAAATAATCTAATCAAAGGGAATTCCCCTCCAAGTGGTCTATTGCGTTCCTCCATCCATGCTCCCCCCTCCCAAGTTATTAGCTTGATTTATGCCGCTGGTGATCCTCTTATGTTGTCAGCACTTGAGTTCTTGGTAGTATTCCCCAGGTAACCATGACTGGCCATCATGGGTATTTGCCTCCTCTGCCAATACGTGGTATTGAGAAAGAGTTGTTTGAGGTAGTTCACTGTCACCAAGCCTCCTTTTATCTTTGCATTGTCTTGGGCCTACCTAGTGATCAGTGGTAGATGTCCTGTCAACATTATCCAGAGGCTCAGATTAATACTGTGGGGTCATGGGTGCAAATCCCATCACAGCAGCTGGTGGGATTTAAATTCAATTAATAAATCTGGAATTGAAAGCTAAAGTCAGTAATGTTGACCGTGAAACTATTGTCAATTGTTGTAAAATAAAACCATCTGCGTCACAAATGGCCTTTACAGAAGGAAATCTACCATCCTTACCTGGTCAGGCCTAAATGTGACTCCAGGCACACAGCACTGTGGTTGATTCTTAACATTCCTTTGGAGTGTCTTAGAAAGCCATTCAGTTTAAGGCTATTGAGGATAGAGTACAAATATTGAGCTTGCTAGTGACATCCACATCCGAGTAAAGAGAAAAAAAGAATTCTCTTCAGCAGTCCAACTGCAGTTCAGTTTTTCTAGTCAAGTCAAGTTGGCATTGCTGAAGGTTGAAGTAACATCTGTTTTGATGTCTCAAGAGACAGCAAAAAAACGTCACTGATAATCTGCTTTGGCAGCGTGAGAAAGAAGCTAACATTTGCATTCTGCCAACTTTTTTTTATTAAGGACTTTGTTAATAATATGAAAGTGACCAGATATTCTGCTTTTTGGCATTGACTGCTGTTTTAGGTATAGATATTTGCTAGGGTACTGGAAAAGAATCTCCTGTTCTCTGGAATAACACCATGGCATCTACCTGAACAGGCAGGCGGGACTTTGGTTTAATGTCACATTGGAAAGATTAGCATTGCAGCACTCCATCGGTACAGAACTGAACTGTCAGCTTTGCACTTAAGACTTGAACCTGGAACTTTGTGGTCCAGAGGTGACTGCACAAACAATTAAGCCACAGCCGACAGACCAGCTGAAATAGGAAATAAGATTCTGGAAATTCAATCCATGCTTTTCTTGACTGTCTGAAAATCCTTTCAAACTGCATCTTCCTCTTTAACGTCAGCAGCTGTTTAAATTTCCTCTTTTCACTCAAACATTTCTTTTCCCTTTAGTAACTCTCTGTTAAACTTCAAATATCCTCTGGTGCTCAAACAGGACTTTAAGGCTCCATCAGCATCTGTCGCAATCCCAAACTTGACATAAGCAAAAGCTGGTTGCCTCATAAGATGAACACACTCTTACATCCAGTCTCGTTTGCCATCATGTCTCGACAGCATCAATACTGTGTGTCAGCTAGCCTCCCACACTTTCAGGCATCAATCTAAGCCAAGCTTCATATGCGCTGCTATACACAGTATAATCCGCTCCCTACAATGTGCAACAAAAAGCAGACTGATTTAGCCATGATTTCATGAGAGTCTTCAACAGAATAAAGAGATGGGTCCTACAGAAGTAAGACAGGTTAGGGAGGACTAGACATCATAAGAATAAGCAAATTAAGACCAAGCAGGAAAGAGCAGGAGGGTGGAATTAATTGGATGATGCTTTCGCCAAGCTGCCACAGGTATGATGGGCCAAATGGTCTCCTTTTGTCCAACATCATTCAGTGACTGTAGATGGCTGAATCTTCATGCATTCGCTGGTGAGAACCCTGTTTGAAGAGACTTGAGGACCACAGAGTGGGCCTTGCTGCTGGAATTCGGTGCAGGGATGTTGAGGAGACTAAGCGAGGCAACTCTCGAAGGGCATTGGAAGATACATCCTGATGTGACAGCGAAAAGGCAATCTGCTGAAAAACAACAAGGCATTTGAGACTTGATCCTCAATGCCATATGATTGTAAAGTAAAAACGTCATGAACACTATTTTAGTTGGCTTAGTTTGTTAGTTAATGAGGAAGTTTTCAATAGTGAGATGTATTAGCTGCTTTTTAAGTAAGATGTAGTCAGTGTTGATTTGATTGATTATTATGTAAAAATTAATAAAATTCATCTTACTGTTACTGAGGAATTCACATCAAAGTTATTTCCCATAGACATCGGTACAGAGCTGAACTGTCAGCTTTGCACTTAAGACCTTGGGTAGGACTTGAAGCTGGAACTTTGTAGTCTAGAGGTGGCTGCACAAACAATTAAGGGGGAAATCATAGGCTCTGGATCCCCAGGCCAAGGAAAATATCATTTATGTGTCCAGTTTGTCCAGCCCGATCAGAATTTTACATGTTTCAATGAGATCGCCCTCACTCTTTTAAGCACTGGGAATACAGGTCCAGTCAACCCAATCTCTTCTGATATGAGACCTGCTATCCCAGTACCAGTCTAGTGAACCTTCACTGAGCACTGTCTATGACAAGTATATATTTTTTGACAAAGGAGACCAAAACTATGCAGTTCTCCAGGTGTGGTCTCACTAAAGCCCTGTACATTGTTGTATGACTGCTTTGCTCAGTACTTAAACCCTCTTGCAATGAAGGCTGACATACTATTCGCCTTCCTGACTGCTCATAACCAGTCCTACAAACATCCTGATGTGTCTCTGCTTTATAGCCTTTTATATTCATTAATTAAATGCCCCAGCACAATTAGTGCTGTATCTATTATTTATCCCTGGATACACTTGCTTGTGAGCAGCACTCCTCACTGGGACTGCTGGAATCAGTCTTTCCTGGCAAGGGGAGGTGCACCTTGCTGGCCAGAAGCCCGTTCAAAATGGTTATGTCATAGTGTGTCTGAGCCACGTGACGAGCATAATTATCAGCTGATTTCAGGCACAAGCTTTCTATTTTTATAATTGACAGCCAGACTATCTACTTGTAGCAGTCACCCTAAAATAGAAATTATCTCATCTACCAAGCTGCTGAGCTCATTTACAGTTAACGAAAACAGGGGGAATAATATCATTCGCCTTCATTAAAGTTTCAACCTGAGTTTTCCTGTTCAAGTCCCCACTGATGTTATTTTTCCTTTCTTCATCCACCAGACATGAACATTGCTGGCCAGAACAGCATTTGTTGCCCGTCCCTAACTACTCTTGAACTGGGTAGCTTTTTGGGCTTATTCAGAGGGCACTTGATTCAATACATTTTGCTATGGCTCTGCAGTCACTGGATAAACGATGAAAAAAAGAAGTTATGAAAATGGGACTAATCCAGTATCGTTTTTGTTTGGGAAGATCAGGCACAGGCATAATTGGTCAAACAACCCTTCTTCTGTGCTGTAAGATTGCATTTAATGTTATCTGGAACTAGGTAGGTGATACTGAAACACAGACACATACTTAGGCCAGTTCTAAAGAAGGGTCAGGGGACTCAAAAGTTTAATTGCTATTCTCTCCATGGATGCTGCCAGACCTGCTGAGTTTCTCCAGCAATTTCAGTCTTTTATTTCAGTTCTTCAGCAGCCGCCAGTTTTTCTTTTATTAAAAATTTACAGCTGCACAGTTCGCTACCCCAGTGGGAAGTGAGGGGAGCTATCATGCTTTAGCCCACCAGGAGTCCATGTAGCAACAACATCAATTTAATTGCGTCATTGCAGGCCTTGAGAAAGCATCATCAAAATAAAAAAATAAACAAAGCCAGCTGTCTTCATCTAAAAGACCTTTATTAAAATTATTCTGCCATTTATTAAATAGTTTATATACAGTGCAATTAAACTACACAGTCTTGTTGAAATCAATCTTCCTTTTGCTAAATTACATATTCACACAAACCAGATCCCACACGCTGGTGGTTTGCAGGCAGCTATTCAGCTCAAAAAGTGTACAGAGGACAGAAATTGATACAGAAGATTACTTAATGCTTTCAAAGCTTCTCCAAACAATGATTTTAAAATCTGTCCAGTTTATTGCATTTGTAAGCCTTCACTTTAGATTTTATTTAGTTATTTGTTAATTAACATGTTCAAGGTTTTGACACCACCTCCTATATCTGTGACCTCTACCCCTTTAGAAAGGCAAGGGCAGCAGTATCACAGAAATAGCTGCAACCCCTCCATGCTATTCATCATCCTGACTTGGAATTATATCCCCATTCCTTCATTAGCTCTGGGTCAAAAGCCTGGAACGCTCTCCGGCAATTACTGTGATACTACCTTCACCACACAGACAACCATGGTTCAAGGTCGCAACCCACCATCTCATTTTTAAAAGGACAAAAAAAAAGATGGGCATTGAATGCCAGCTACAACCACATCCCTCTAATCAATTTTAAACAGTGGATCCTGTCTGGTGTTAGCTCTTTTGATTTCTAATTAAAAACCATCTTCAAAATCTCAAAACTAATTTATAAACCTTGATTTACCAAAAAGAAAAACTGCACTTGAGCTAGTCTCCTAGTCCTGACCATTTATTTATAGCTTAAAGAACTTCTGGATAAATTTGCACATCATTTTCTGCAACCCCACCCCTTCACCATTAATAAATGTGTTATACACTATTTGAACTGAAACACTAGCAGCCTTCAGTCTTACTGAACTGCTGCACAAGTTTCTCTTTATACCAACACCCCCACCCCCCCCAACCCATTCCTTCATTGAGGAACATGAGGATTTTTTAAAAAATCTTCATTTCCAATGACCCTGTCTCAAAGGAATTTCTCCTTTCTCACTTCACCCCTCCCCCAAACACACACACAGCAGTCAAAATGATATCTCACTAGTTATCATTAGTCAGATAATATTTTAACACCAATGTTTGTTCCTCTTGAACCAGTGGAGAAAATTCTCCACTCTCATCCATATCCCACACATAATGGGCATTCAGTCAATTGCCAAACCTCAAGTCTCCCCTTTTACAAACGGAAGTGGCTTGATATGTAGTGCAAATGTATAACTTAAATAGCCTCTACCTTTTCAAAGTGTGACTTACAGTAGGAGTCACAAAAACAGGGACTATAGTGAGCAGGGTGAAAACAAAATTTGTCAACAAACCCACCTCTACACCCAATTTCTTCTGACCTTGTTAAAGACTCATCTAAAACAAAAAAAAAATACTGCCATTGCTGTTATGCAAGTTAAAAAGTCAGTTCCGGATTTTGTGAACAAGCTCAAAAGAACTGAATATCTGGGCATCTCTTCTAGCTCTCTCCCCATCCATTGAACACACCTCCGACATCCACCCCCATTTTCCTTCTCCCTTGCTCTTCATTCTACTCCTCAGATTGATTTCTCCACTTCCTCTCCATCCCCGTTTTCCCCTCTTGTTCTCTCCTCCATGACTCCCACCTGCTCTTTCTGCTCCATTCCTCTTTCCCTGATCCAACTTTGTCCCAGTGCTCCTCTTCATCTTCAACTTCCTATCACACATCCCTTTTCTGCCTGTTCTCCTCCTCATCCTCTGTTGCACCATTATCAACCCCTCCCCTATGGCCCTCCTATTTCCCAACCCTTGCATCGCTACAGGAAGCCACTGATATAGAAATTTTTTTTCACTCAATTAAAAAGGTGCAGAATAATCTGACAATCAGGTGCAAATTTGAGGCATTTGAAGGGTTGAAAAATGGAGAGTCTTCTCCTGGTCTGGGAGTTAAATTTAATTCTTCATTGGATCCTCTTTGTCTTTATAATCTTCCATCATTTTTAATTGAGACAGAATGTGAGGATCCAGGTTGAAAAACTACCAGCATTACTAAATTGGCTTCAGTTTTCAATTTGTCTTAACGTAACACCAACTTTGTGTCAGCTCCTTCCCTTTCCTGAAACATAGAAGATGAGCAATAAAATAAGTTTATAGGCACTGCTCAAGAAAGCCAAAGCATTACATTGCCCTTAGCCCATATTCACATCTGTCAAGCAATAAACATGCATCTAGGTAAAGTTGTCATAATCCCAGAGAACCATAGGGCTGCTCTCTCATTAGAGACAAATGATTGCAAGTTTAACCCAAAGGCACCATTCTTCTAGCGAGTAGCAAGGTTGAGAAGGCAGGACCTTCATGATAACCTCAGCTGGTGCAGCAATTTACATGCATTATTGGCATCACTCTGCATTGCAAACCAGCCTTCCAGCCAACTAAGCTAACTGATTCCCCATGTGACTACAAGTTGGATAAAAGAAGAGGAAAATTGTTAATGATTAACACAAGACAGATTTGTAATTATTGGCAGTGCTGTTAAGTGCTGCAGTTTCTATGTGCATCAGTAGGTGGCAATGAATTCTGACAGTTTACATAAAAAGAGACAGAACTGGAGTGCTCAACACGTTTCCACTGACTGCACTAGCAGATGGCTTAACTCTGCCATTATTCAGCTTATCTTGCAGATACATTCTATTTTGCTCAAGAAGCACACAATTTATAGACAGTCAATGTGGACTTTTATAAATTCCTACTTTAGAAATAAAACCAGATTGACTTCAAACCAAAACACAAACGGATTCTAAACAAGGCCTCACACCTAACATGCGTTGTCTGACCTAAAATGTCACCTCTTCTTTACACTGATAAAACCTGTAGTTCTCTCAGGACAATGATTTAAAAGGAATTTGGGAATTTACATATACCTATCAATTAAAACTTTCTAACTAATTAAAGATTTAACAGCATCTTAGGTTTGTTTAGTACATCCTCAGAGGTGTGACCCTTTGATTTTTTACTTCTAAATTCTGTGTCTGATACTACCTCTCTTATGAACACCTGAAGAAGCAAGGCTCCAAAAGCTTGTGTTTTCAAATAAGCTTGTTGGACCGTAACCTGGTGTCGTGTGATTTCTGACCTTGTCCACCCCAGTCCAACACCAGCACCTCCAAATCACAGCTTATCTTCACAGGTTCACACCACCCACTGAAATGGAAAACATCCATGAAAACCTTTCGGAATCAGATAGACATCTTTACCGTGGCCTCAGAAGGGTTGTGGATTTAAGCCCCAATGCAATATGTAACCCAGGTTGAAACTCCAATGCAGTGTTGGGAGTGTGGCACTTGCAAAGGCTCATTTCAAAATGTTAAAACTGAAGCTCTGTCTGTTCTCTCGGGTGAACGTAAAAGATCTCACTATTTTGAAGCTGCTCAGTGTGTCCAGGTTAATATTTCTCCTCTAATCGAGGACTGATCCGGTGATTACCTTATTGCTTCTTAGAAATTTGCCCACCATATATTAATAGCTACACTTCAAAAAGTATCCAGTTGACTGTAAAGCTATTATAATACAGTGGCTCAGTGGTAAGCACAGCTGCCTCACAGCACCAGGGATTAGGGTTTGATTCCACTCTTGGGTGACTGCACAAACTCCACACGTTCTCTCCGTGTCTGCATGGGTTTCCTCTGGGTGCTTCCGTTTCCTCCCACAGTCCAAAGACGTGCAGGTTAGGTGGATTGGCCATGCTAAATTGCCCATAGTGTCCAGGGATGTGCAGGCTAGGTGGATTAGCCATGAGAAATTCAGGGTTACAGGGATAGGGTGGGACGTTCTTTAGAGGGCCAGTGTGGACCTAATGGGCTGAGTGGCCTGCTTCCATACTGCAAGGTTCTACAATTTTATAAAATACAAGCTCTGGCCTTCAAGCCACAGAAACTCCTGAAGCTAAGCACAATAAGCGTTAGCTCCGCAATGTAAAGGATCATCACAAACTGGTCTACTCTGATACACATACTGTTTCTTTTAAAACCGTGTATTTAAAATTGGTTTTTAAAATAGTGACTGAGACAGTATTTTTTGTCACTTATAAGCAATGGGGTCCCAGTTAAAACATGCTTAAAAGAAAACAGCAAGTGAGCAACCAGAGGAAGATGCAGCTTTGACAAGGACCAAATAAGAATCTTCACTCTTGCTGTACAACAGCCAAGACCAACACCTGTAAACCTCCAAGAGCTCCAGTCAGAGAGATTGGTCCACAGGCTCGAGCTCAAAGAGACAGCATGCACTGGACTCACTTGCCACTTCTTGTTCCTCTTCCCCATCCCCACTCTGCCAAGTTTGGATGGGTGAGGGGGGTTGGGGGTAAGTGGAAGGCTGATCAGTACAGCTGATCTGTGGAGAGGTTTGCCAGCTGGATAAGTGCCAGTGCCCCATGCCACCGCTCTCTCTGTTCCTGCAGGTGTTGCCCAGTATAGCACTGTTCCTTCTCCTCTTCCTCCTCTCGGTTGTTCATTGGGTTTTTCTGTTCCTGGTCAGATTTCTGGCAGTCTGCCTCTTCCTGCACTGGGACTGGACGCTGTTCTCGACTCTGCCAGTACCTGAGAAAAACGTTCACACATTCAAAGATCTCCAGTTGGACAAATAAGCAGCAGCAAATCCAAAGTTTGGTTTAACGTCCGCACTGTCCCCACTGTGGCCCCTTTATGGCTAATTTTCTGTAATTACGGCTCCCCCCAGCCTGTAAATTTTCTTATGCAGCATAATTGATACATTCCCCTGTCACTGTAGTACTGTGCTGCAATCCTAATAACACAAGACTGCACCAACTCTATTATCGAGTCTGACAATTATTTGCTGTCAATCTCCTACCAAAACCATCCAATGCCTCCTTGGATGCCTCAATTGAACCTGCCTCGACCACATTTCCAAGAAGTGCACTCCATACTCTTAACAACTTGCTGGGAGAAAAAAGTTTTTACTCAATGACTTGGCCTCAGTTATGCAGCAATTTTGATAAAGAAAAGCATTGTTTGAAATCTCAAAACTCAAACTTTGTGGTCTCAAACTCCAGTGAACAGAAAGTGGGTACAGGGCCATTGAGTTGGATGATCAGCCATGAGAATATTGAACTGTGGTGTAGACTTGGAGGGCTGAATGACTTGTTCCTGCTCTGACTGACTATGTTTAATAAGGAAAGCACATTGATGGAAAGGGAGGAGAACTTGGAAGCTGCATTCAAAAGAATGGTAAATGGAAGGTCTTAAAAATAAGTGGAGGCTGATAAATTCAGCAAGGAACGCAACAGAAATGACTTTACGCAGCGAGGGGTCGGAATTTTTCTTCTTTATTCGTTAACAGGATGAGGGCATTGTGGCTAGGCAGCATTTATTACCCATCCCTAATTGCCCAGAGAGCAGTTAAGAGTCAACCCACATTGCTGTGGGTCTGGACTTACATGTAGGACAGACCAGATAAGGATGGCAGTTTCCTTCCCTAAAGAAGATTAGTGAACCAGATGGGTTTTTCCAACAATCAACAATGGTTTCATGGTCATCATTAGATTCTTCATTCCAGATATTTTTTTGAACTCAAATTCCACCATCTGCTGTGGCAGGATTTGAACCCCGGTCCCCAGAATATTATCTGGGTGAGCCTATGGAATTCTCTGCCACAGAAATCAATCAAGGCTAAAACATTGAGTGTTTTTAAGCAGGCTGAGAAGGACCAAATGGCCTACCTCTCCTATTTTCTATGAGTTTCTTCACTCCAATTGTAGAGAAGGTTTGGAATTCCCTACTCCAGCAGGATGCTGAGGCCATGTCATTGAGTAAAAACTTTTTTCTCCCAGCAAGTTGTTAAGAGTTTGGAGTGCACTTCTTGGAAATGTGGTCGAGGCAGGTTCAATTGAGGCATCCAAGGAGGTATTGGATGGTTTTGGTAAGAGATTGACAGCAAATAATTGTCAGACTCGATAATAGAGTTGGTGCAGGCATGTTGGGCCAAATTGCCTCCTTCTGCACCATAATAATTCTGCAATATTTATAACAATGAGCAGTAGATTTCCAGATATTAAACATACCAAAGAAAATGGGGATAGCACAATGGGTTGAATGGCATACTCCTCTTCCCAATCCCCTGTTCTTATATTGTATGGAAAGAGACGACACTGGGGTGAGGTATGTAGACAGGTGCACAAAACCCCAGCACTCCCTGCCAAACAGGCCGCAGATATATCTTCACCACGTTCCCAGAGGGCGGCTCATTGCCACTTTCTTGGGGGAGATTAGTAATGGGCAATAGATGCCATAAACACTCAATAAAACAAATACATTAACAGTTCAGTTATTGGAGTCAAGAGAGCTCAATATCTCACCTTGTTAACCACTCCACTACTGCCTTGTCTTCTTCAACCATTGTGACCTTGCCCTGTTCCGTTGTACCATCATGCCTCCTCAGCCGGGCATACGGGTGTTTTGCGCAGTGCCGATTGGCATGAGTAAACTTGCTGACACAACCTGGAAAGAATTTACAACATTACTTTATTAACAAGGGGATACCGAAGCTGTGCCTCATCACTACAGAAATGCAACAGCACCAAATTTCTCAGGCTCAAAGCAGATGCATTACGTTTATTCTAAATTGGCCTCTCCAGAGCAAACTTTTACAAAATGTGATAAAAACTGGGAGCATCCTCACATGGAGCAGACCCAGACTCAATCAACTACATCTCAAATGAATAAACTTGCAACTTACATTTTATGTAGCATTCTCAACATACTTCAAGGTGGTCAAGAAAAGCACGTTACCAAATAGAATTGGGCCCCAATCCAAATATGACTCACCCGGCTCGGAACAGATGAAGGGTTTCTCTCCAGTGTGCAGGCGTTGGTGCGTCTTGAGCTGCCCACTCTGCACAAAGGCTCTCCCACAGCTTGGGTAGTCACACACATACGGCCTCTCACCTAAACACCACACAAACAGGGAGAAAGAGAAAGGAAAAAGTACTGAATGGTGGGATTTTTGCCAACTCCAGAACCCAAACAGCAACCTATTTTTTTTTGGTGGGGGGGGGGGGGGGGGGGAAAAAGAACGACTAAAATCAGCAAATGTTAAGACAATTATCTATCCTTTTATAAAATTTTTTGAACAGCCAACAATTTGAGGCTTATTTTTTTTGACTGGACCGCCAATGGAGTTGACTTCTTGCAAAACTAAGCCACAGCTACCTAGACTACACCTCCTCTCACCCACCTTCCTGCAAAAATGCGATTCCCTACTCCGAATTCCTCCATCTCAGCCGCATCTGCTCCCAAGATGGGGTGTTCCACTCCCGAACATCCCAGATGTCCTCGTATTTCAAGGACCACAACTTAACCCTCCAGTGGTTGGAAACGCCCTCGACCGCATCGCTTGTGTTTCCTGCACCTCAGCCCTCACACCTCCTCTCCGCAATAAAAACAAAAGACAGAATTCCCCTTGTCCTCACGCATCACCCCATTAACCTCCGGATTCAACGCATCATTCTCCGCCACCTGCAATCTGACCCCACTACGAAGGATATATTTCCCTCCCCACCCTTATCTGCCTTCCGGAGGGACTGCTCTCTCTGCTACTCTCTCATCCGCTCCACACTCCCCACCAGCCCCACCACCCCTGGCACTTTTCCCTGAAACCGCAGGAGGTGCTACACCTGCCCCTACACCTACCCCCTCACCCCCATCCCAGGCCTCAAAAAACCTTCCACATTAAACAGATGTTCACTTGCACATCCGTCAATGTGGTCTATTGCATCCGCTGTTCCTGATGTGGCCTCCTCTACATCGGTGAGACCAAGTGGAGGCTCGGAGACCGCTTTGTAGAGCGTCCGTGCTCTGTTCGTGACAAACAACAACACCTCCCAGTCGCAAAGCACTTCAACTCCCCCTCCCGCTCCCAGGACAACACGTCCATCCTGGGCTGCCTCCAGTGTCACAACGACACCACCCGGAAACTGGAGGAGCAGCACCTCATATTCTGCCTTGGGAGCCTACAACCAAATGGTCTCAATGTGGACTTTACTTGCTTCAAAATCTCCCCACCACCCGCCTCATCCTAAGACCAACCCTCCCTCTCATCCCCACCTCCTTAACCTGTCCATCTTTTCTCCCACCTATCTGCTCCTCCCACTTCATTGACCAATCCCCACCACTACCTACCTGCTATCACCATCCCACCTACCTTTCCCAACCCAACCCCTCTCTCTACTGATTTCAGAGCCCCCTTCCCCTCCCCCAATTCTGAAGAAGGGTCCGGACCTGAAATGTCAGCATTCCTGCTTCTCTGATGCTGCCTGGCCTGCTGTGTTCCTCCAGCTCCACACTGTGTTATCTCTGACTCCAGCATCTACAGTTCTTACTATCTGTTAAACAAACATGTTTGCCCAGTTCAGCTTCTGATCATAGGGTCTGCAATGTGTTATGGAGCACTGATTTCTCGACCTTTCTTTTCATAAAAAAAAAAGGATAAAGGACCTGTTGTCACAAGCAGGTCTGTGTTTTGGGTTGGCCCCTTTCTAAAGGGGACCAGGCACTCAGCCCGAAAGTGCAGCAAGGCTACCAAACCCACCTTAAATGTTGTTAACACCAAGCAGCGGCAACCAAAACAAAAAGAAAATGAACAAATGCTTTGTGGTTGAGAAGCTTGCACAAAGGCTCAAAGCCCAGAGTCAGACAGCAAGGTGAAGAGGAGTGAACATGATGAACTGCAATCACAGGTAGAGCCCCTGGCTGAAGTTTCTAAAACACATGACTCCAGATTCAGTTGGAGATCAATTAAGATCAAATAACCTCAGTGCAAAACTAGAAATCAAATTTTCCAACTGCCTGCTGTGCGTGACTCAGCCACATTGTCCAAATGAGCTAGGGGATTCCCAACATAACTTCTTCTTCAAAAAAAAACAGAAGCTGCTTGAAATTAGAAGTAATAGATATCTTGGGCGAGGGAAAGTTTAACATTTCAGGCAGCATCTTTGGAGAGATTACCAGTGAACATTTCAAATCACTGACCATGAATAATTCTGATAAAATATCACAGTCCTGAGCCATTAACCTGGTTTCTTTCTCCATGCCAAGAATCTGCTTGCATTTACTGTTATTACAGAGTAATAGAACCGACAACTGACATGGAGGCCATTTAGCCAACCAAGTTGCGCTAGCTGTCTCAAAAGCAAATCACTTCACCCCACTCCCCAAGTCTCCCCTCAAACCCACAAGTGAACCTACCAAGTGCATTCCAAATCCAAACCACTGTTGCATAATCTTTCCCCTCCTGACCATGTCACCGTTGCTTCTTTGCTGTGTAATCTATAATGCATGCATATATCCTTTAAATAACACTTATTTTAAGTTGCGTTTTCAGTGTGAAGGAAGTGAACAGTTAACTTGTAAATATTTGTGTGGCCATGGTGACTTACTTTAAACCAGTGTACTTTGGCAGCACTTAAGGATTTTTGTTTATCGTAGGATGCTTTACAACTTAGCAAGGTAAACCATTATGCTTTAAGCATACTAGCGAACAGTCAAAAGATTGACACTGTTCTCTACAGCAACAGCAAGAGTGCAGAGAGCTGTATTGCACTCTTCCAAGATTGAAAAAACCCCAACTCAAAGTTAATTTTCAGGGAAAACACCCAGAGTTTAGAGAGAGTTTTTTTTAAATCTTTTAACTTCTATTGTGCTTTGAGCAATTCTGAAGTCCTTGGAGGGAGATGGTTGTATAGTGCACTGCTTCTGAGAAGAGGCAAATATGAAGATTATGAAGGGCATGGACAGTATGGATAGGAAGCAGCTGATCCCCTTAGTTGAAGGGTCATTGAGTGGGATCATAATTTTAAGGGAAGGGCAGGAGGTTTAGAGAGGATTTGAGGAAAAGCTTTTTCACAGAGGGTGGTGGAAACCTGGAATGCACTGCCAGAGAAACAAAACCACGTACGTGAAGGTTGTGAGGATGAGCACTTGCAATGTCATAACAGTTAAGGATATGGATCTAGTGTGGGGAAAGTGGGACTAGTGTATATAGGTCAGCACAGATCTGATGGGTTGAAGGAACTGTTCTGTGCTGTATGAATCTACAGCAAAACTAGATTACCTTAAGAGTGTGAGGAGATAGCAATTGTTACAAAATAGAATACAAAACTTCAGGAGTTTACTTAAAGCTCAGTATTTTTAAGTTCTAGTGGACGAGAACGCCTGGAAGAAGCTATCAGCGTTTCCAGTCTCGCAATTAAAGTCACAGTTACCTTCAGCTTATATAGAGGTGTTAGAAAGAGGTATTTTCTCTAGTGTGGCTACTGTACAAGGTTTTTTTTTAATTTTCAAGGGCATGTTTTGCGATTCATGAGAGTATACATTTACTGCACGTTTAAAATCTGAATTTGCGATACAAATAAATATTTAGATTATTTTATTTTACCTTAATTTATTTTGGTTAATAAACTTGAGTTTTATTGTTAAACCAAAATCTGCAATATTGCAGGCTTGTGTTTCAGTAAGGGATCACCTTGTTAAAAGCAAAACAAAACAACACAATTTTTCAGAACAGGGGCAGCACGGTGGCTCAGTGGTTAGTACTGCTGCCTCACAGCACCAGGGATCCAGGTTCGATTCCACCCTCGGGCAACCATCTATGCTGAGTTTGCACATTCTCCCAGTGTCTGCGTGGGCTTCCTCCGAGTGCTCTGGTTCCCTCCCACAGTCCAAAGATGTGCAGTTTAGGTGGATCGGCTATGGGAAATTGCCCATAGTGTCTCAGGTGGAAAATACAGGGATAGGGTAGGGGGTTGGATCTGGGTGGGATGCTGTTCAGAGGGTCGGTGTGGACTCGATGGGCTGACTGACCTGCTCCCATACTGTATGGATTCTATGATTCTATAACAGGATCTGAAGGGTCACTGGACATGAAGCATTCACTCTACTTTCTCTCCGCAGAAACGGCCAGACCTGCTGTTTGTCAAGCAAGAACACAAACTGCAATTTTGAATATGGTGCCAAGGAGGTTGAGTGTAAGGGGGTTGTATGATAAAGGAAGGTGTTCTTTTGCTTTTTCCATCCTGCAAAAGTTAGTTATTACTCCACTAAGATGATGAATCTACCCATATTATGACTACCTGGTAAGTGGTTAAAGTTCCTATCCTATTAAACCTTAAGACATTTTTATGCACATACATATAATATGTTTGAATTAAATAAAACAAGTAATTTACTTACTTATTTTCTCTGTTTTTATGTATATATACATACACACACACACATGCAATGTAAAAAGAAAGTAAGTAGTCAAATTACTTGTGTTATTTAATTAAGATACATTAAGGAAGGCAGGACAGGTGATGTGTCAAAGCTACAGCATGTTGGGGCTCCTCAATATCATCGTGATCCATGGAAAACGCATCTGCAGTGTGGATGAGCTAACTGACCATGGTACTTGAGTGGGGTGAAGAAACAGCTACGTAGTGTAACAGGGAATAGTCGAAGGATTGATACTATTATCTGCAATGAGAGTGCAGAAAGCTGTGTTGCCTGACCAGTGCCAGGGTACAATATACCTGCTCAGGGCAGGATAGTAACTAAAGTGGGAGGAGAAGAATCTGATCATGATCTGTGTCACTACAAATGACATTAGCAATGACAAAGAGAAAGGTTTTGTTTTGTGAGTACAAGGGGCCAGGCACCACATTAAGTTACAGAACTTAGCCATGTGCAATTTGACATAGGGCAGCAAGATTAGAGAAATCAACGTGTGTCACAAAGGCTGGTGTAGGAGATGGGTTTCAGTTCATGGTCACCGATACCAGTACTGAAGAACTGGGGCCTGTGCAGCTGGAATGGTCTACACCAGAACGGTGGTGGAACCAGTTTTCTAGTAAGAAGCACAACTAGGAAAGTAGAAAGGGTTCAAAACTAAATGGGAGCAAGGGATCAAATTTGGGAACTCCCTCAGTTTAAAGGGAGAAAAGAACAGGTGCAAGACTAGTGTTTCAAGCTTAAATAAGGGCAGTTATTAGGGCACGACAGTCACAGTGAGGTGTCAATTTAGGTTAAGGATAGGTCAGTGGAGATGCAGTGGCTAACATTTAAGGCAAAATTCAAGACAGTATCAAACTTAAGAAAAACGTAATTCAGAAGTAGGTAAGAAGACTGGACAAAATATAAAACAAAACAGCACAAAAAGGACTAAAAGATGAATAAGGAGAGAAAAATTAGACAGCATAACAGAAAGCTAGCTGTTTTAATAATAGAATGGTTTTATTTATTGTAAGGGGGATTTAATAAAGGAAATAAAGAATAGGAGATTATGTTTCGGTTATACAGGTCAGAAGTGAGACTACATCTGGATACTCATGAAATAAAAGATGATCAGGCATTAGTGGGAATGTGGATTTGAGGCTGCAATCAGATCAGCCGTGATTTTATTGAATGGCAGCACTGGTTTGAGGGATGGAGTGGCCTACTCCTGCGCCCAGTTCATGTACAACAGCCCCTGAATTTTCAATTCTTTGTCACAGCTGCAATTCCTCAACGATTATTTCAACAATATTTTAAAAAAAAGATCCGAAGGGAGAGTGTGGAAAAATTGACACCCAAAATGGGGAGTGAAGGAAGGTGGAAAACTAATACTGGATGATACCAGCTAAAAACCTATAAATTCAAAAATATTACAAAAAAAGTCAGGTGTATGAATCACTTAGATGATATTATCCAGTATTGATCTGGCAGGGATGCCAGAGGCCAGTTAGAACTGAGGAACATATGATGGGTGAAAACTTGGCTGGGTATATAATGGAAAAAAGTAATCAGTGGAGCTGGCTGTCCTTGAATTGGAATAAAACTCTGAAATAGGAAAGAATCAGCCTGCATTCTGTCTAAACAGCAGTTAACCTTTGAAACAAAAACAAATTGCTGGAGAAATTCAGCAGTCTAGCAGCATGAGTGGAGAGAAAACAGAGTCAACGTTTCGAGCGAGTGACCCTTCTTTCGGTCTGGCGGTGGTGGTGGCTGTGGGTCACCAGATTGGAAATGATAACTCTGCTTTCTCTCCACCGATGCTGCCAGACCTGCTGAGTTTCTCCAGCTATTTGTTTTTTGTTTCAGACCTTTAGTACCCACTGTTCTTGGTTTCATTTTAACATCTGGTGTTTAACATTTGATACACAGCTCCTCATCATGTAGTCTAGAGTACAAATGGAATTAAGTTTTAGATTACAGAAGCAAGACAGAACCAAAAAGGTTAAGCGTTTAACTCAACTGACACCCCAAATGGAATGAGCTAGAGTAAGAGACATTGTGAGAAGTCTTGAGCTTGCTGAGTCAGTGAGGAGATGGGTAGGAATGATGAAGAGAATGATCATCAACGTTGTGAAACGTGCATAGAAAGGATCAGTGTGATACCAATGCTCTCCCCATATCTGCATACCAGTGTGTGTCCTTTTGTGCGCTTGCAGCGATTTCTCTCTTGGGAAAACTCGATTGCAGACGTGACAGCGAATCCGGCTAGTGGACAGGCTGCCCTCGTTGATCAAATCTCGGACTATTTCTGCTCTCGGCCGGCCACGTCTCATCCCATCCTGCAACATACAAAACGAAGGACGTCACTGATGTGCATCGACATTCCTGAGTTAGATTCAACATCCACTCTCCCAGTCACCGTTAGAAAGGGTGGAATAGTTAACACATTGCAACTGGCTTTAGTTCTAAAAGAACCAAGTGAGAATAATTAAATTACATAAAGTAAATAATGGACAGGGTTAGCATTCCCAATTACTATTCAAATACATCTGCCTGAACAGGAAAGGATGGCCAGTGACAGCTCAGAATGTCTTTGTAGCAGTGACCTTGGGAACAGCTACCGGAGGACTGTTTCCTAGATTGGTTCAGTGGTAGCAATCCCACATGAAATGGATAAGTTTTGTCCTGTGTTCTGCTCCATTATACAATAAAGACTATTCTTTCGGTGAGATTTCAGAAGCCTCTGCTTGGTCAGAAGGCTTTACTCTCTCATGGGCTGAGGCCATCACTGACAAGGCTAACATTTATTGCCCACCCATAATTAGCCTTGCACTGACTTGCTTGCTTGGCTACTTCAGAAGACGGTGAAGAAAAGTCAAACGCATTGCTGTGGATCTTGAGCCGCATGCGGGCCACGTAAAATATGGATGACAGCTTTCCTTCCCAAAAAAAGGGGATTAGTGAACCAGATGGGATTTTACAACAATTGCTGTGGTTTCAAGGTCACCATTATTGAGATGAGCTTCTAATTGCACATTTAGAAACTCAATTTAAATTGTACCAACTATCACAGTGGGATTTAAATCCGTGGCCACAGGGCATTCACTCAAGCTCCTGGATGACTAGCCTAATGACATGATCTCTATACCTGTTTCAGTCTGCAAAAATGTAAAGGTGGCATTTTTTGTAATGGACAAGGAAGTTAACCTTATGCAGCAAAATGTTCATTTGGGAAATCAGGAGTTTTCACCCATGTAAGCCCCACGAATAGTTGACCAACAGTGTATTATCAGGGGCACTCCATAATGTTCCATGAGCTTCCTGTACAATTTTAGGTGTATCTCATCTCTAGTTCTTGCCAACACTGTGCCGAGATGTCAAAATTAATTATCCATTTTACTTTTTTGTATACGTTCTTGCTATTATCTGCTATATTGATTGTACAGAATTATGTTCCTGGACCAACAATCCAAGGAATTTGGAACTCACTGCCTGTAAGGGTGGTAGAGGCAGAAGCCCTTTTAACATTTAAGTATTTAGGTATGCCTTTGCACAAATGCACATAGGCTATGGGCCAAATGCTGAAAAACTCGATTAGAATAATTTGGTTCAGAGATAGTAGGAACTGCAGATGCTGGAGAATCTGAGATAACAAGGTGTAGAGCTGGATGAACACAGCAGGCCAAGCAGCATCAGAGGAGCAGGAAGGCTGACGTTTCGGGCCTAGACCGAAGTTATCCTCCTCCCTCCGGAATCATTTCTGAAGAAGGGTCTAGACCCGAAATGTCAGCCTTCCTGCTCCTCTGATGCTGCTGGGCCTGCTGTGTTCATCCAGCTCTACACCTTGTTATCTAGAATAATTTGGTGTGTTTTTTGACTGGGACAGATGCAATCAGCCAAAGGGCCTTCATCTGTGGTCCATGATTCATCAAGATGCAAATTCTACCTTGGCAGTCAAGATTTGAAAGCAATTTTTAAAAAAAATCAGTAAAAGAGAGAGTCGCCATAAAGATGTTAGCATTGATAAACTTGAACTTTCACTACTTTTTTTGTAGGAAAGGAAAGCCATGACTGAATCTTAACTACCCTCTTAAGTGGTAATTTGGCTACAAACTGTTCAGCAGCTTAAACAGTGGCCACTACCACTTTCCAGGGCAACTGGGAAAGGGCAGTGATACCTGAACGCAGTCATTTTGACATGAAAGGAGGCTGTTTGATCTATCAAGTCCATGCTAGCTCTCTGCAGAGCAGTCCCATCAGACTCAGCACCCCACTCTATACTAGCAGCCCAGTAAACTAATTTCCCTCAAGTACCTCTGCAATTTCCCTTTTGAAATCACTCAACCTTTCCACTCTTCAAGGCAGTGAGTTACAGATAACCGTCACGGTTTGGTCACGAAAAGAATTCTCAACTTCCTGGATCTCTGGCCAGAGACGTCAAAATCCTGGTCATTTTTATATGTTTTTTGTTTGCCTCCACAATAAAAACTAACTTCAAAAGTAATTGATTAGCTTCACAGCTTTCAGAATGCTGCATAAATGCAATATTTTCTTATCCCTTTGACTGCAGCAGAGGCAGAAAGCACGGAGGAATTTAACGAGCGATTTGGGAAGGTATTAAGCAGCAGATGATGGTTTTTAAGACCGGGGAGTTGTTCTATGCTCCCAACCCAGCCTGGTACTTTCCTATGCTCCCAATCACACATATACATACAAACCAGGAGTTAACCAGATACTGCAATATTGTGTGTGTTTTTAAATTAGTACACAGGCAGGAAAAGGGAGTTGCAGCCAAGGTGAGACCAGCCATGATTATATTGAATAGCAGAGCAGGCTCATGGACTGAATAGCCTACTCCCACTCCCAGTTCTTATGTCTGTTTTTTTTCAAATCCCACATTCTTGCCTTATTATTAAATCAGCTTGCTCAGATGTGTTTATGGCACACTTCTGGGACAGATAGGCCTTCCGACTCAGGGACGTAAACACTGCACCACTAAAGCGTGTTCTGCCTGTCCCCATCACGTTTTCACCCGCTTGCTTATCAAGAATCCAACTGCCTCAAAAAAAAAATTCCAGGATTCTGCTTCCACCTCTTGAGGAATGGAGCTCTAAAGGCAGGAACAGGGTTTCAAAGGCTGACAGGTACAGACAGCAGTGAAGATTACCTCGCTGCAAATGAAATAAACGGAGAACTAAATATGAAAGAGTGAAGATTGATTTAAAAACTTCCCTTGCAGGAAGCCCCTAGGACTTCCTCCAATTTGAATTGACGCTCCCATACATGTAACACCGACAGTAGCCAATCATATGCGGGGGGCGAGGCCAACATTGTCCCGTCTCCATGGAGATGGAACCTTGGCGCCTGCTACATTTTTGGCGCGTTCCACGCTTGCAATTTCAGGCCATTCAAACGAAATTAGAAACGCGGCACTAATCTTAAATAATATTAGTTCGTTTTAAAGGAACTCCCGACTTAAAATTTAATTATACAAGCTCACGGTCGTAGAGAAAGGGGAATATTGCAAGCTATCACTTTCAAACTGGATTCAGAAAGAAAGTCAGAGACTTTCTCCAGCTCCACACTGCGTTATATCTCAGAGAGAAAGTGTTGCGTACAGAAATCAGAGAGAAAAGAAGTTATTGATCTGGAAATTGAATCGTCAGATCAGTTATACCTGTCAATAAAAGTTTGTTTTTAATATTCTGAGATCCACGCTGGTCGTGGGTGGGGTGGAGTTGAACAGCATGTGGTTTTCGGTAATCCTGCTGCCCACAAGCTATAAATTAAAAGACCCGAAGAAAAAAATCATAACGGTCCCGAAATATTAATTGCTTATCTCTCCACAGAGGCTGCCAAATCTACTAATGTCCAGCCGCACTGTTTATATTACAAGTTAAATATGATCTGCAAAGACTTGGAAGAGCTTTATCTTTTAACTACTGCTGACAAGTGCAAGGTTACTTTAAGTGCAATCTCGCCCCTCTTCCCTTCTGTTGTATTTCTTTCTGACAGGTTAGTTATTCTCTGTATTGGGTACTAAAGGACCGAAATGACAGCCTCCTAGCTATGCAGCACATTTCCACTAAGATCTGTTATGCGACAGCAACAAGAAAATCCAAGCCTCCTTTACCTTGTACGCGGCGATATCGGGACTCTGCCTGGGCGAAGCGGACCCTGTTGATCCAATGCTGGGGGTCGGACTCAAACTCATACTGTTGGAGTTTTCCGGCCATTTGTAGGGAAAAACCATTGAGAAATCCCCCAGGTTTAATTCCTCGGTACCAAATTTGGATTGGAATGGTGTGGCTTTAATGACAGAGACAACCATTCGCTTGGGCGAATTGCAACTCGCACTCCCGGACATAATGATATACATTGAATTCTCCTTCGTTTTTCAGGAGAGAAAAAATAGATTGAAAGTCCAGGTCCCTCTAACTCCTTTCCCGCGTAATTTTGCCTGCTGGGAAATCTTATGAACCAATCAGACTAGATACGCGAGGGAATCCCCGCGTTTTCCACCCAATCAGCTGGTGGGTTGTTGTGTGTCTAACCAGGTATTTAAACTGGGTTTAAAGCTAAAGCCGTTTAGTGCAAAAAAACATGAAAATGACTCAGCCTCTGAGATCATTGCGGAGCCATTGCATCAGTTCTGAGTGTGCTCTGTCTTGGCAATAAGAAAAATATGCTTTGAAATAGTAATCCTCTTTATAATAAATTTATTCAGTCATGTCTAACAATCTCAGGATTTTTACACTGGAGATTTTGTCTTTAAAGGGGCAATGTCTTGTTGCAAATATACATTGTGGCGCGGTGTTGGTGTTCCCACTGCTGGACCGGTTTAAGTCCGACCTGCTGCAGAGCTAAGAACCACTCTGAATAGTTTGATTAAGGGGAAAAATATGTATAATTAACATCAGTCCCATCTAAGCTGCTCGTTGGGATCTGCATCCATTTAAAGATTCAATGTCACTATTTCTCGAAGGAATGTAGGGGAGTTTAACCTAGTATCCTAGCTAGTTTTTAATCTCTCAACCAACATCAAAAATAAAGATTATGCTGAAGAAACTGGGCGGGTCCAGCAGCATGTGTCGAGAGAGAGAAAAACAGAGTTAACATTGAACTTGAGTTATATTGAACTTGAAATGTTAACTCAGCTTTGTGCTCCACAGATGCTACCAGACCTGCTGAGTTTGTCCGGCATTTTCGGGTTTTATTTCAGATCTCTAGGATCTGCAATATTTAGATTTTATTATATAAAACAGATTACCTGGTTATTATCACATTACTCTTTTTGAGGTCTTGCTGTTTACAAGTTAAATGCTGCATCTCTGATATTTCACGCTCAGGGTGGTGCATATATGGAATGAACTGCCAGAGGAAGTGGTGGAGGCGGGTACAATTACAACATTTAAAAGGCATCTGGATGGGTATATGAATAGGAAGGGTTTAAAGGGATATGTGGCAAATGCTGGCAAATGGGACTAGATTATGATATCCGGTCGGCATGGACGAGTTGGACCGAAGAGTCTGTTTCCATGATGTGCATCTCTATGACTCTATATTGCTGCATTACCGCTATTAAAAAGTACTTAATTTGCTAGGATGCTCCTTGAGATGACTGGTGGTCATGAAAGTGCTATGTAAATGCAAGTCTTTTCTTTCCCTATTTCTTTTAAGTAGATCTTGAGTCCATCACTTTCTTCTTGGAGACCAGAGCTACTCTGACTAATAGACTGCCATCTGGATCCGTGGCCCGATCCTCTCCAGATGCCCATTCTCTATGTGTGAATGTAATGGGAGGAAATATGTGGTTTGACTTCTGTGTCTCAAACAACTGATCCTGGCCTTGGGTGGTATCCACAGAAGTGCACTTCCTGATATGGATCACTGAATAGAAATCAACTGAACAGTGCAGGGGGTATTGGTCTGACTGTCTACTTCTGTTCCTTGGAGGCTGGAATTTGATGATCAGAACTGGATTTTAAAGTGCTAGTTTTTCTTTTAGAATTTTTGTGTTTATTTTTGTTCCATTTCATTTCAAGGGACATCAATTACCTATTAATTAGTGGAAGCATCAGATTAGTTGAATATTAAAGGGATAGAAATCTGTTTGCCTTAGCAATGATTCCCTTGAGTGAAGTTTTGGTTCCAGTTTATCAGTAATGGCCCTTTAAGAAGGGAAACTCATTTTTAATTCATTCATGGAATGTGGGCATTGCTAGCTGGGCCAGGATTTATTGTCTATCTCAGTTACCCTTGAAAAGGTGGTGGTGAGCTGCCTTCTTGATCTGCTGCAGTGAATTTGTTGTAAATAGACCCACATTGCTGTTGGGGAGGCAATTCCAAGATTTTCACCCAGTGACATGGAAGGAATGTTTATATTGTTCCAAGTCAGGTTTGGAGGGGAACTTGCAGGTATTGATGTTCCCATGTATCTGCTGTATTTGACCTTCTAGATGGAAGTGGTTGTGGATTTGAAAAGTGCTGTATAAGGAGATATAGTGGATTTCTGTAGTGCAGCTCACTTCCACATTCTCAGCGCAGCTAGGGACAGGCAATAAGTAGTGGCCTGCCCATGTCCCTTGAATTAATTTTTTAAAAATCTTGTAGGTGGTACATACTGCTGAGTGTTGGTGGTGGAGGGATTGAATGTTCATAGATGTGGTCCCAATCAGATGGGCTGCTTTGTTCTGGATGGTGTCAAGCTTCTTGAGTGTTGTTGGAGCTGCACTCATTCAGGCATGTGAGGAATATTCTATCACCCTCTTCAATTGTGTCTTGTCAATGGTGGACAGGCGGTGGGAGTCGGTTGGTGAGTTAGTCATCTCAGAATTTCTAGCCTCTGACTTGTTGTTGTAGCTTCAGTACGTGGGTAGTCCAGTTCAGTTTCTGGTTAATGGTACCCCTCAGGATGGTGATACTGGGGATTCAGTAATGGCAATGACATTAAATGTCATGGGGTATTGATCAGATTTTCTCTTTTTGGGAGACACCATTGTCTGCCACTTGCATGGTGCAAATGTTACTTGCTGATTATCAGTACAAACCTGGATATTATACAAGTCTTGCTGTATTGGATACGGACTGCTTCAGTATCTGAGTCACAAATGGTGTTGAATACTGTGCAATCATTAGTGAACATCTCCACTTCTGACCTTATGATTATTGATGAAGCAGCTGAAGATTATTGGGTCAAGGACATTAACCTGAGGAACTGCTGCAGAGAACTCCAGTATCCTGGACCTACCAACTAACTTGCACATCTCTGGACTGTGGGGTGAAACCAGAGCACCTGGAAGAGGCCCAAGCAGACACAGGGAGAACATACAAACTCCACACAGACAGTAAAATGACTCCCCTCCAACAACCATAACCATCTTCCTATGTGCTAGGTATGACTCTAACCAGTGGAGAGTTTGCCCCAATTCCCATTGACTCCAGTTTTGCCAGGGGTCCTTGATGCCACACTCGGTCAAAAGAGGCTTTGATGTCAACAGCAGCCTCTGGAAGTCCTTTTGTATAAATATTTGATTTAATAAATGTCAATATCAGCTTACTTACATAACATCTGCAGTATTTTGCTTTTATCCATCAAAGCTTCCAAGCTCTTACCTTCAATGTCTTGACTAATAAGGGCAACTATCCAATATGCCTTCTTAATCACCTTATTCACCTGTCCTGTTGCCTTCTGGAATCTGTGGACATGCACACCAAGATGCATCTGATCATCTGTACTTCTTGGGATCCTACCATTCATTGTGCAGTCCCTTGCTTTATTAATCCTCCCAACATGCATCACCTTTACAGGATTAAATTCTATTTGCCATTGTTCTGATCATCTAACTAGCCGGTCGATATCCTCCTGTAGTCAAAAACCTTCCTCCTGGCTGTTTACCGGGTGCATCATATCATGTTTGAACAGGCCGATTTTAAAACCTCTATGGGTGAGATGCCTCTCCAGTTCTTCTTCAAATATTCAGCCTCATGTGATGCAGTGCCAGCATCTCTACCTCTGGATTAGAAAGCCCATGTTCTTAGTCCCACTTGCTCCAGGGGTGTGGCATAACATGCCTGAACAGGTTGATTAAAAATACCTGTAAGAGGTAGGATCTATTCCTGTAGAAATTTTGTCTTTTCATGAAGTCCCTTTAAAATGTGCCCTTTTGGGAAAGGGATGGAGGGGGCGCTTAACCTCCATTTAAGTACTGATTTAAACACTGAATCTTGGAATCGCTGCAGTGTGAAAGCAGGCCCGTTAGCCCATCAAGTCTACAGTGACCCTCCGAAGAGCATCCCAACGCAGACCCACCCAATCCCTGTAAACCCTGCAATTCCCATGGCTAACACACCTAGCCAACGCATCCTTGGACACAATGTGCTACATAGCATGGCCAATCCACCTAACCTGCACATCTTTGGACTGCAGCACCTGGAGGAAACCTACACAGACACGGGGAGAATGTGCAAACTCCACACAGACAGTTGCTCGAGAAGGAATGAAGCCCTGGTCCCTGGTGTCGTGAGGCAGCAGTGCCAACCACTGAGCTGCCATACACGCCCATGTCCTTATTGATTGAATATAAAGCTGGTAGAAATCAACCCCTTGGCTACAATTCCCTAATTTCAATTCATTAGTTGTGTTCCTTTAAGAAAGGTGATATGTGAAGGGATCATGTTGTAGATATTCTCTAATCAACCTGTTCATGTAAGTTGTGAGACAGCTCTGGAGTAGGTGGAATTTGAAGCTGGTCTCTTGGTTCAGAGGTAGGGACCTTCTGGAGTACTGTGTGCAGTCCTGGTCGCCCTGCTGTAGGAAGGATATTATTAAACTGGAGAGGGTTCAGAAAAGGTTTACCAGGATGTTGCCGGGAATGGAGGATTCGAGATATAAAAATAGGCTATAAAGGTTGGGACTTCTTTTAATGGAGCACAGGAGGTTGAAGAGTGACCTATTGAGGTTTATAAAATCATGAGGGGCATAAATAAGATGAATGAAAAGGGTCTTTTCCCTAGGATGGGAGAGTTCAAAACTAGGGGATATATTTTTAAGGTAAGTGGAAAAAGTTTTTAAAAGTACATGAGAGGCAACTTAGTTTATACAGAGATAGTAGGAACTGCAGATGCTGGAGAATCCGAGACAACAAGGTGCAGAGCTGGATGAACACAGCAGGCCAAGCAGCATCATAGGAGCAGAAAGGCTGACATTTCGGGCCTAGACCCTTCATCAGAAATGGGGGAGGGGAAGGGGGTTCTGAAATAAATAGGGAGAGAGGGGGAGGCGGATAGAAGATGGATAGAGGAGAGGATAGGTGGAGAGGAAACAGACAGGTCAAAGAGGCGGGGATGGAGCCAGTAAAGGTGAGTGTAGGTGGGGAGTTAGGGAGGGGATAGGTCAGTCCAGGGAGGACGGACAGATCAAGGGGGCAGGATGAGGTTAGTAGGTAGGAGATGGGGGTGCGGCTTGAGGTGGGAGGAGGGCATAGGTGGGAGGAAGAACAGGTTAGGGAGGCAGGGACGAGCTGGACTGCTTTTGG